GGCCCTTTGGCCCATTTTACGAACTCAAGCAGCTTCTCTGTTTCGTCGTTTTGATAAATACCGAAATTAGGGTTTTTCTAACTTCTTCTTCCTCCGCAGCCGCCTCTGTTTCTTCTATATAAATCAGTAAAGCCATCGACTTCAAGAATCATCTCCAAGTTTCGATTTCAATAGGTCTCTTTCTTTATCATTTTACGGGTTCTTAGGATTCTTTGTTTTGCTAGGGGTTTCTTTTGGGGGTTTTTCAAGTTTTTGTCCTTTGAGATTGAGATTAAGAAAAAGCCAATTAGCAGAGCAATGGCGTCAAAATATTAAAAATGGCGTGAGTTGCCTTGAAGGTTGGCAATAACAAAAAGCGATTCTCCGTGCCTATCAAGTTTTTCTAATATTGATTGTGGCCTCGAACAAGTCGCTACATTTCATTACTTATTAACTCCAAATCTCTGTTTTTGTTACTCTTGTTATCGTTTTCTTCACAGTTTCTTAAAAACTCGAGTTTTTTTTGACAAATTCAGTTTATGTTTTTTTTTTTTATCAATCTGGTCCAATCTTAGAAGACTCTTTTATCTGTTTTCTTCCCAGATTGATAAGATTTATCTTTATGGTTTTGAGTTTTACAACATTGTCCCCAAGACACAAGAAAAGTGATGAATTTCAGTATACTTAACCTGAAGTAGACATCAAATGTAAATATGAAAACAGTCAATTGCAAAGATCAGAATATTGTAAACATTGAATCGAAATTTCATTGATATTTGTCTTTACTTGTGATTAGTAAAATTTCATTGATGAATGCAATTCTACCTGTTACAAATCAGAGCCTATATGGAAGTAGAAGAACTGATGAATCTATCCTCTCATCAAATTATTGAATATAAAATGAGATCAGATTACAGAAGAATTGGAGACTCTGGTAAAATTCTTGAGTTCAACCTGAAATATACAACTGAATTCGTGCTGCTGTGCATCCAACTTTGTAGCAAAAGAATCAAACTTTATTTGGTAAACTCAAATATTCAACGTCCATGTGAAGCTGAAGAATCTGTTAACGTTGATGTATCCAATGAATTCACATGAAACAGCAATTCCATTGATGTCTCAGGCCATTCTCTCAATTTCTCAGCTCTCACGACATCAAGAAGATTATCTGGAAGCTGCGAAACGCCTTCCAAGATCCGCATAACCGCGCTCATTGCTGGTCTAATCGATGCAGCTTGATGCGAACACAACACACCTAGCTTCAAAACAAGCTCAAGTTGTCCTCTGTTTTGTTCTTGACGGATACTTTCTTCAACGGCATCAAGAATGTCTTCTCCTTTTTCCCAAAGCTCTAGTATCCAATCCACAAGAACTTCTTCTTTTTCCGTTGCACGTCGCTCGAGCAATCTTCTACCGCAAACTACTTCAAGCATAACCAACCCAAAGGCGTAAACATCAGTGCTTGTAGTTGCTCTTCCTGTTCTTACAAGCTCGGGTGCGATATACCCCAACGTTCCCGCTACTTTAGATGTCTGAGGATCAAATCCTTGATCATACAGCTTCGCCAATCCGAAATCCCCGAGCCTCGCATTCATTTCGTTGTCGATTAGAACATTAGCCGGTTTGATATCTCGATGAATGATGACTTGTACCCATTCTTGATGCAGATATAACAGAGCAGATGCAACATCTTTAATGATCTTGAAACGTTGCTCCCAAGTGAGCCGTTCTTGATTCTCATTGTTACGGTATAGATACTTGTCAAGGCTTCCATTAGGCATAAAGTCATAAACCAAGTAGAGACTTTCTTTATGCTTACAATATCCCAAAAGCCTAACCAGATTTGGATGTCTAAGACGACCAATGGTCGATATCTCGGCTAGAAACTCGCTCATTCCTTGTCGTGAATCATGAGAAGTCCGTTTCACAGCGATCTCTGCATCGGAACCTGGAAGTGTTCCTTTGTAGACTTGACCAAATCCTCCTCTTCCAAGAAGCTGTTTCTCCTTGAAACCTTTTGTAGCATTGAAAAGCTCCCTATAAGCAAACCTATGAGGTCCATATTGAATCTCCCATTCCTCAAGAACCTCCTTAACCTTTTTATGCCTCAAATAAAAGACGAAACCAATCCACGAGGCGACAAACGCAGCGATCACGGATATCGTTAAGCAGACCGCTAAAACCGTCTTTGTTCTGTTAGATGCTTTCTTCGGATATGGAGGAAGGATTGGAAGTCTACCAAACTCCAAGCTCGGATACTCGATTTCTCCATTAACAAAATAACCCATCATGTAATGTATGGCTCCAACCGATCCAGTCGAAGCAGTGAATCCAAGATACCTTTTCTCAAGCAAATAAGGTGAGAGATCTTGATTCAAAGACAAAAGCGGTTTTCGAGGCGGAACAGAGATCTCAGCAGGGAATAGAGTAACATTAAGCTGTTTATCTGGTTGGCTATAAACGATCGAAAGCCGCATTACCTTTCTACTGATCAAAGAAAGATTCTTAAAGCTTCCATCTTTATCATCATAGTAACCCGCAGAAGCAGAGACAACAGACCTCAATCCATTGATGTTAATCCCAACATGATTATCATCAATATCGCCAAACTCTTGGTCTTTATGTATATCTAACTCGATAGCTATCACGTTATTCGAGGATTTACCGTTGGTTGTCTCGTTGAAGATTCCGAGGTACTCAACGGAGGAAGCTCCGGGGAGGTTTCTTGTGGGGGAGATAACGAAAGCCATACCGTGTGAGCCTTGATTGTCAYGTTCAGGGACGATTGCGAAGAAGAAGTTCATTGAGAAAGATGTCGTGATATTTGTGGAGGAGTTGGTGATATCAACTGGTTTGTTGTCGAATGCTTGACCGTATGTGTGTTTTGTTGTGTTGGTTAAAGTGATGTAATCATTGAAGCCGATTCCTGCAGATCCTTTTGGGACGAAGTAGCCATGGGCATTGTAAAACAGAGTAAGGAACAGAACAAGAATTGCTTGAAAGAGAAGAAGTCTATGAAACATTTCTTGATAGGTTTTTGGTTTGTGAGAAAGATTTTGATCTAATCTTTCTGTGATATTATTATCATCATCTCTTGAGTGTTGAGAAGAAACACTAAAAGTCATAAGGTTTGACATTTATGGCATTAAGAAAAATTTTGGTCAAATTTGCACCAAGACAGAATTTGTATCGACCTTTAATCCTTTGGCAATTAGCAGTGTGAAAAGCATCCATGCAATAGTACAAGAAATCAATTTCCACAACCAAAGTTCAGGACTAGAAGAATTACTATAAATAAGTTTTTGGCAATGCAAAATGATGATTGATAGATGCAACCAATTTTTCATGGATTGGGACCTTTAGATTGTTTTTATAATACTATAACATTACACATCAAAAGTCGAAAAATCAATTTCTATACAGAGTTGTTCAATCCAAATCCTCTGCTTTTTGTTGTTTACTTTTATTATGTTTATACATCTGTAAAATTCATAATTTCAGATCACAAACAGCACTCAAAATCATCACCACTCTTAAAATTGTAAGTAATAAGATAAAGAAATCAAAGAAGAATCAACTGAAAACAAAAAAAAGTCAAAAGGTTTCTTTTCTTGTTATTTAAGAAACAAATCACGCAAATCTGTTAAAAGATCTTCTCCCAATTGTTGCAGGCATTGAAACAGTGGAATCAATACTCGAATTTCCTACGGATTTGAGTGTCTTATGCTTCTCAAGCACCACAACAACACCAGAAGAAGAAGAACCTGGACCTTTCTTGTTACTGTTACTACTCATGAACAATGACCCTTTGTTCCATTTAAACGAACCAAACGAAATCCGTCTCTTCTCAGTGTTGGTAGTGACCGGTGAACGGTCCACTTTATCCTTTGGATTACTGTGTGCTCTTAGTTTAGCTTTAGCTGAAACAGTTGGAGCCATGTAGCTTGGAGCTGAGAATGGAGGGCAACTTGTGAGGCTATCATCATCTTTAAAAGGAGAATCTTGCGTAGCTCTTCCTCCTCGTGAGTATCTTGAGGCGCTACCTTGTGGCTGCGGAGTATTGAAGGGTCTTGAGGGAGTGAGGAATGTGGATTTTGATGAATTTGGTGTGGAAATGTCGAAACTGTTGTTGAGTCTGAAATGGTTTTGGTTGGTAGATTGAGGTTGAGGGCTCGGGCTCGGGGTCGGTCGTGTTGGTGTTAGCCTAAAAGGTTGGTTTTGGTTTTTTTGCCGGTCCACCCAGTTCCACCAAAGTGGGAACCCGTTTGATCGAATGTCTTGAGCTGACTTGTGACTGTTTTTCCACAACTGAAAGAGAGAAGAAACAAACAGAGAGAGTAAGGGAGATTTTAGCGAAAAACCAAAGATTCTTGGTCGGTAAGTAAGGAGAGATAAGAGTGTATACTTGATGAGAATATGCATAGGCCATGGACCGTTCTCTTTTGATCATTGCATCAATCTTTCTATGCAATCTTGCTTCTTTTTCTTCTTTTGTTAGCACGCTATCGTCCCAATCATCGGACTGCGATAAAGAACAATATAAATGCCACAAAGATTCCAATTAAGAGTGGGAAACCAAAGATTTATGAGAACACTTACCGCGAGACTAGAGGCAAATTTCGTGTCATCTTTATCATTCCTAGCTCGGTTTTCGAGCATCTTGATGCGACGTGACTGGACTTGTGTTTGAACACGGACTAAAAGCTGCATATACTTCATAGCATTCATCGTTTGACGCTTCACGCTGTGCCCTCTAACCACTCCTTGAAGCCTAACAAGACCTTTCAAGGCTCTGAAACTCCTCCTTGCCTACAAATTTTTTTTCCATCTCCTAAATTATAAATGCTTACTATCGATTAATGGTGACAAAAACAGAATCAAGAATGTTTTACATTATTACCATGTAACCTCTAAAAGCTGCTTGAATCTTTGTTGCATAAACATTTTTGACCAGTAGAGTTGGTTCTGGTCTATGCACAAACTCGCGCCGCTGCACGATCCTAGGAGAAACCGAAACCGCTCTTGGAGAAGGAGGCTTTGGAGACGGGGCACGAGGGGAAGGAACTCTTGGAGACAATATTGGTTTTGGAGAAGAGACATATCTTTGAGAAGACAGTTTAGGAGAAGCAGGCCTAATAGGAGGAGATCGAAGAGAGATCGATGATGTCTTTGCTCGATCCATGGGAGTTGGTGGCCTAAAGACAAGGTTATGCTCTCGTTCGGCTTCGCATAAGATCTTTTCGATACTGCTAGGTTGTCTAAAGATTGGTAGATATGAATTGGTTTCTCCATTTCTTAACTTTTTTCCTAAAC